GGCAGCAGGGAATAGCTGTTTCGCTTCCGGGGAATAGCATGGGTCGCCGTGTTTGAAGCCCGTCCCAGGGGAAGTCCAAAAGAATTCAACGTCCTCGTTCCTTGTTTTGACTTGTGCCTGTCCATCGAATGGGGCCGCCGGGGTGACGATAGATTTGTCCGCGAGCGTTTTCGTGCCGTCGACTGGAGCGTTGAGATCGTGCGACGACGACGCCGATGAGGTTGAGGGATTGACCGGAGGTTCATTTTCGTAGAGAGTCCCGTTGGAAATGCCATCTCCGTTAGGTGTGACCTTGCCGTGATATTTTCTCCGATGGTGGGCGAGCCCGTCCTCGGTGCCCCCGCCCCAAAGGCAATCTGGGTCCTCTGTGCATTTGTACTTTTCGTTACCAGAGCTGAAAAACCGTGTCACTTTGTTACCAGATAATATAGAAAGGATAGTGGACGCACTGGTGTCTGAGCCTGTGACCGTCAAGATTGCATTTCTGGAGAAGAAGAACTGGGCAATCGGGGCAAACACGATAGCTGCCTCAACGATAAGCACGCCTGAAGAAGAAGAATACAGGCTGCTGACTTCTCTGCAGCTTTCGCGTGTATCTTCATGTGCTTCGTGAGGTCTTGATGGCAGGAGACGCTCGTGTGGCAGTCTGGGCATTGCCATCGCTGGCTCCTTCGAGCGATGGTGGAAGAGAATTGGGAGCAAAGGTGCAGAAGGTCCGTAGGGAGCGTTTTCCAGGAAAGGTTGGGGAGCAGCATTAGCGTAGCAAGAGCGCAAGATGCCGAGCTTTTAAACGTCGCGAGAGGCTGAATTAGTTGGACGACGCCTCAGGTTTTCTACCTTATAAGCCAAGTGTTCGGTGAGTAACAAACCAATGCACACGAATTACTAGCCAATTCATAGAAATAGCCATTATGGGATGTTGCTGGATTGGTTACGAGATACATGAGGGCTGACAGTGTCCAGAAAAGAACAAGGCCGCACCGGATGTCGGTTAGGGACACAGGCAATTCAAGCAATTCGGTATCTTCAAGTGTTTTAGCCTTGTAAGGCAGGTCCTGACGTGATCCAAATAGCGGCAGGGATTCTGGGAGAAGCAGTAACGCAGTGCCTCGCTAGAAAGCAGTATCTGGACTCCAGGACTCGAATGGGCAGTGATAGAACTTGAATATATCTCAAACCGAATAATTTCCCAAGAGCTGAAATAAGACGACAGATATCAGGGAAGAGTAAACTCAGACTCAGAACTGATAGTTGCAGCGAGTACGGATTGGGAGAGACAAACGAACGGACGATCGGGGAAAGCCGCCGTATGCATTACATAAGATACGCGTGACGCGTCGTAATTTTTTCCGGCGCGCTCGACCTATCTAAAGTCAAGTAAAGCATATTATTTCTTCGACAGTTATCAACGCATGACAGAACCGAAAGAGCAGATGGTCAGATCGTGCGTTCACTCTGTGAAAACATTCTCTCAGTCTTTGACAGAGCCGTATTTGGGCGAAGTATTCAAGCGTGTCCTGGGAGCATTGCTAAATGCTAGAATTACGAGACACCAAAAGAGAGTCAGGAATGCGTTCGCAGCGACATACCCCAAGCGCCCATTTCCTTGCGTAGGTATACATACACAGTCGGAAGGCATAAGCGCCCGAGTCACGAGGCGCCACAAGAAGCATAGAACTGATCCCCCTTGTCCCCCTTATCCTTCTCTCTTCACACGCATCTGCTATCAATGGCCAGTAAACCCACGATAACCACCGCCGACGCCCCCTTCAACGATCCCACTGATAGCGTTGATCTCGTGATCCGCACAGCCGACAACGTCGATTTCTTCGTCCTCAGCGGGCTGCTATCGCTGAAATCCCCATCGTCGTTCTTTCGCCATGTTCTGCAAACTAACCAGCACACAGAGACCAAGGCCGGTTTTCCCGTCCTCGAGGTCAAGGAGAACAGTGATATATTTCTGTTTATCCTCCTGCTCTGCTACCCACACGCCTCTCCCGAGATCAAGAACATCAGGCAACTCGTAGAGGTGGGGAAGGCTCTGGAAAAGTACTGCATGGATAATGCATTGGAGTGTTTCTTTCAGACTGTAATTGCATCGTCTCTGATAAGAGAGCAAGCACTGCAGGTCTTTGCTCATGCAGTCAGCAATGGATGGAAGATATTAGGCGAGGCGGCGGCAAGACACACGCTTGCCACCCCGCTTGACACCGAAGTCGCGTTCGAGGACTTGAAATGCATTAATGCCCACCAATATGTCCTTCTCCGAGATTACCATAGGCGGTGTGGTATCGCCGCTCAAGCCATCATGTCGGCAACATCGGCAGTTACTCGCATGCCATGGCTGAAAGGGAAAACGTCCGAACTCATCTTTTTATACCGCGGAAAGTGTCAGTGGTGTGGGCGGACAACCGGTCGTGGATGCATCGTAGGAGATCAACCTTTTTCGACGCATGAGTGGTTACCCGATTATCTTGCCGCAATGATGGTGGACCTGCCAGGGCGACCTTTCCCAGAGATCGCTCTAGGTGAAAATATCATTGCCCAAGCAGCCGCGAAGAGCATCGCTCAGTGCAGCCATGCAGAGTGGGCCAAAATTGCCGGTAGCCAGATCCACCGATTTGCGACGCTAGTAGCGGAGGAGATAGATAGGTTGATTTCTCAGGTGCGTCAGTGAACATCCTCCCACGGGTTTTTCTTGACCATCGGCATAGGTGCCTCTGAACATTGATTGGACAAAGTGACGATGGGGTAGTCGGTGATGAGGGATCCTTTTGCGATGAGACCGAAACTGGAACATGATACTTTCGTCGCATCAGACGACAGACGTTGTATGATAAATGAATAACTCACTGGAAACAAGGCTTCTGGAGCGTCTGTACGAGACCCCCCACAAAGTCTAATCTTCCGATGTCGATAAGGTAAACGTAGTGCACGACGCAAACGGCCAGATCCAAGTCCATCCGGAACATCGAATGGAATTCCAAGCCAGTAAAGTCGAAAATAAAGCCAGAAAAAAACTTTCATAGACGCGGTCGAAGCATCATCGACATTCACTAAGCGAGCGTAAGCATGACAAACTCAGAAAGAATAGATTATAAAACGCACGAAATTAGCAGCACTGCGTATTACGCTCATGAATATCCACCAATAACGACATCGTCCATATCGGCCCACGAAAGACTCGCCACGTAAAAATTCCCTGATGTCATGGTCTTGCGCAGGTTCCGCTCCACCGGAGCCTAAACGTTCCAACAGATAACGCTAGCGAACGTACCAAGATGACGTCTTATTAACCTCTCGAGGCTAAGCTGCGATAATCCGATTGCGAAGCTGGCCCAGGATCATGGCTGTTCGAAGGAAAGAGCAATCGTGGCTGTGTTGTTGGCTCGATCGTTGCCACGAGTACATGCACCACTACCTTCTGGAAACGCCAAAGTATCTGCTCGGGATCGAACTCTCCAACGTCCTGTTTACTTTTGCGAACGGAACGGGGCGGTATTTCTCGGACAATCGGTAAGCATATCTCTTCTCGCTTACCTCGATACGGTCAACGGAGCCGGGCGGCATTTCTCAGAGAATCGGTAAGCGTCTGCGAGCTACTTGGACTTTATCTAATCACCAGCTAAGAAAAATGAAAGCTTCGTGATTTCATCTCGATTGCCTTGTTTTTGATCGTCGGATTTCCAGTGAATAGGATGATCGCGTCTTGTGTTTCACAAAAAAAAATAGTGATCGGGTTTATATACGGTCTTTCGGCCGATAATTCATTGGCGATCGGACCGGTATCCGCTGGGTTTTACTTTATAAGTGGGCTGTTCGTCCATTATATGCGAATCGAGACTCTGATTGAATATTCGACACCGAGCAGGATAGGAGCAGGGTCCATATAGCCCCTACCAGATACGGCTGTGTTGGGTACCAGACTCCAGAATCGATTCTTAGCAATCGTAAACCCGATTTGGGGGAGACCTCGGCAGCCTGGAAGCCGATTCTTAGTAAGGTACGCGTTCGCGTTATTTGGCAAAGCCGTTCGTACCAAATCCAACCTCTCCTCCCTGGACCGGCAACCGCCCCCCCACATTTCCAATCTCTCTCTCGGCTTTATCCTTTTCACATTTCAAAGTAAATGAAATCTCAATGAACCACTCACTCCAACTTCAAATTTGAAGGCGTTCGCGGGCCCGCAATGACCATTCAGCACAGGAAGAATTGTTAATGGGGTAGTATCGCTCCACCCATATCGTAAGGGTGTGCGGAAAGTCTTCGTATTATTATCGTATCAAAGCTAAAAGTGACGTGGGAGCAGGAAAGGTAGAGCCCTGGATATGTTATTTAATGACCCTGCGCCTCCATGCTTCGCTGTCCCTGGTTCCTTGGCCACGGAGTCCGCCGCTACGCCCATGTTTTCGACTGCGCCGCCTCGGGTTGCTATCCCTCTCCTAAGCGCACGGGCTCTCCATTCTTCAATCCCGCCGCCGGGGACGTGGAACGTCCGAATGCAGAGCATGTGCTCCCAATAGATATTCGTGTCCAAATATTGACGTTAGTACGACAGGGTCTCACGGGAGATGACTATCTTTACACTTTTCGAAGATAGTTGGTGGCTATTAGGCGATTTTGGAGGTAAAGATGGTCTACGTGGGGAGAAGGTCCCAGAAGTTTGGCTGTGGCTTCGCACATGGAGCAGAATAATCCCCACGAAACAGAGTTAGCGACGGCCTCTCCGCCTGTGCTCCAAATACCGACGCCTCACTTCTGATCGAGCGACGCCGACACGCTTGTGTGTGGCGGTAAGGAAAAGAACACGCGGTGACGAAGAACGACTCGAGTGACGCTTTTCTGACGTAGGTTCTTGATTTAATCATTACTCGGTTACTTGGCGTTCTGAGGTGTGTACTATTGGCGTTAATGGAGATTGGTTGCCGAGAACATGGTAACAGAAAACCGAGGTGGTTGGTTTAAGACATTCAGAAAGATCAGTGAAATGGGCCCATTATGGGGGCATAGCTCAGCTGGGAGAGCAACAGACTGAAGTTTGTATTTAAGTTGGTAGAATCTTCTGGAGGTCCCCAGTTCAATCCTGGGTGCCCCCATTTTTCCTCTCGGACGGACTCTTTGTTTTTAGTATATATAATGATCCTCTAATACTATTACGATTTACCGCTAAGTTGTAACCGTTGATGTAACTTGGAGTGGGAAGTTGAAACCTATAGGCTATTGTACTGTTAGGTCGGACCTCGCGTCCACCCGGGACCAAAATGACGACAAAGGATTCGAGCCAACTGTAGGTATAGCCCCACAGCGCCTAGAAGTTATCGATCTCACGGACGATGCAAATATACAGGAGTCGTCAAGCGGAAGGAGATATGGGTCATCCTGAAAAGTCTGGACAAACGATCCAGAGTTGCGAATTCGGAAGGTACATGTATGTGCCGAGAATGTTGAGTACTACTAGTGAACGTGGGTTAACAGTGTGCATCATAGCTCGAATAGGAGACGAATGTTAGGACTCGTCATAAAGTCAGGGCCGAGAGACAGATGACGATGCGATTGACCCATGACTTGGACGAAGATAACGTTCAAACCCAATGAGTCAGATTCATGTATCAACCATCCGAAATATGTCAAGTGAACCATGTGCTATTCTCGTCGAAAGCCTATGCATCGGGCGTGCTACGATGGTTGGATACAAAGATAATGTTCTTCGAAGAGTTCGCTCGTTCCTAAGCCATTCCCAAGATGCAATGATAACAATAGATGCTCTACCGATTGCTTGGCTATGGGATTACACGGGAAGTTAAGGCCAGTGCTGATATGCGGAGAGCCAACGCACCACTAGGATAGCTGAGGACACAGTCGAACCGTCTTCATCGACAAGTGGCGGCCCTCTTTTGGATAGATTTTGGATAGAAATGCGTCATTAATACGAACCCGACTGGTACTCCACAAATGAGTGGGTCAGAGGAAGTCTCACGCGAAGCCCGAGAGTTGGGCGGGCAATCAATGGGGCGTGATATCAGCGCAGTGGAATACACACTGTATACGAGAAGAAGATATAGGACGGTAACATGGCTCCACGTAATGAGATGAAGGGTCGTCAAGACGCTAAGCCAGAATTCGATGCTTCGACGCATGCGAAAATACTTGGATGTTCGTATGTTACAGGTACGTGCTCTCACCGGTAATAAAAGGAAAGGTTCATGACGACTCGGAATACAACTACTATCCAGAGAAACCAACGACGTTGATTGACGTTCGACGTAGTAGGGACGAATAGTTGCTAGGAGGATAGCGAGGATCCCACAAACTGGGAGCATGAGCCCGAGGTGGGAGCAGAAAGATCAGCCGGGAATATCAAGATTCGGAAGGAGTTGATTGCGGTTTCGCAGGAAGATGTGATGAACAGGATTAACAACCTTGAACGAACGTGTCGTAGTGGTAGAATGGAGGCGGGGCTGGGGGGTTTTTGACATGTTTATATTTAAATAAAAAGCGAACAGTGGGTGAAGGACGTGTCCGACAGGCGCAGGTTACAGTTCTGCGCCGAAGAGTCGGAATAGTGGCTACTTATAGCTGGCCATTGAGACAATTGAGTAGACGAAGCTAGGTTACCGGGGACGTGTTACGAGACGTGATTGTGGCGACGGTGAAGTCTGCGGTTGCGCAACTCATGAGCAGTATTTTAACGTGAATGTTGAATTGGAAAAGTGTACGCAAAACTGATGGAGTAATACGATCAGATAAGAAGGCATGGAATGTCCATATGGGGATGTACACCTAGAGCGCGGCTGAAATTTTGATGCTGTGCCGAAAGCCGACCAATGAGATCGAGGAAATGCCGGGAGATAAGACACGAGATGGAATCGGGCGACCCAACAGGATCGGAGATTCCAAAGTGGAGCCTTGAAAAGAAAAGAGACTGAATCAAAAAATGGCCGCATCCGCTGGTTGACGATAACCACCACCCCTCCCTCTTCGGCCGTATGCCCTACTCGCTGCCCTCCCCCAGCGCAGGCCGGCCCACTCACCGTCGTTCGTATACTCATTCTCCAGGCGCCTTTGGGTCTCTCGGTTCGCTGCCACGGATTCACCGCCCCGTATTCCACATCCAAAACGACTGTTCTTCTGACGACGACGAGCATGGTCTGCTTAGCTCACATTCAACAGGTACAAAGCCATTGCGGCTTGATACCCACTTAGCGGTGCCTTTCCCACGAAGCTCGCCCTCGCCCCGTAGCCCCAGCCCAGAGGTTCCCAGCAGGCCTTCTCCCCCACAGAGGACCAACTCAACCCCAGTCTTGCTCTCCAATGGCCGGCCTCTGAAATCTTCACTCAAGGGGTCACGTTCGTCTTCGGTCCCAGATATGCCCTCATTGTCTGTCCAACATACCCGTGCTCGCTCGGCCCCATCTACGCCTGCACTTTCTTCTCACGAATCTCATTGCCATAAAAATGTCCATTTCCCTACTCACCAGCTCGAAACTGTCCGTGTGTTCAACAGGACTGCGAAACCCGCTTCGTTGCTTCGAACTGCAACCGCTTCGGACGCAGAGACCGAAACCGAAACCGAGCTCGAAGGCTCTTCTCGTTATACAGAGGGCCCGCGATTCCCATTCCCTTCGGTTCTCCCCGCGTACTCCCTGTCTCCATTTACCGACATTGTTCCAAGCCCTGCTGTGCCAAGAGAGGGTTGTAATGTAATACTCGAGTCCTTAACTCTTCCCCAATCGACCCTGGCGCTCAAGGGCACACTGCTTGTGCGCAATATATCATACGAGAAGCAGGTCTACGTCAGGTTTACCCTCGACGATTGGCAGACGACGTCTGAAGTTGCCGCTCGGTATCAAACGTCGTTGCCCTCGTTACCTGTTTTGTCCAAGAAGAACCTCACTGTAGGTGATGTTGCTGCAGGAGTCGCTGCAGGAGGACCTGCCGTTTGGGACCGCTTTGAATATACAGTCAAATTAGAAGACTACGCTTCGACCCTTATTGATCGTACCATCTTTCTTGTTGTACGATATTCCGCCGGTGGAGGTGAATGGTGGGACAATAACGCCGGGCAAAACTATCGTGTGGCCTTCATTCGGAGTCCCAACCGTAAGTTTATACTATTCATTCCGTTCCTACTTGTTCATTGAATTCAACGACAGAAGCACCACCTGCAACGGTCGAGAAAACCCACGCACCGGTAGCGCCGATAAAAGCTCCTCCCGAGAGTTCCGTTCCGTTCCCAATGATTGTACCTTCCTCGTCTACGAGTCCACCATCTTCTGCCACCTCGACACCCACCTTGTCACCTTCTTCGTCACCCTTGTCACCTCCTTTGCCGACCGTTCCGCTCCCTCCCCCTCAACACAATCGTGCACAATCAGAGGCGACGCTCCAGCATCGTCTGAAAGGCTTCAAGCTTGCCAACTATGCCAAGCCCAATGCTGTCCCTACTCAACTGAGTCCTACTACAGAGAAAGCAGAGGGCGCTGGCGTATTCTGGTTTTGGGGCTCTCGCAAGCCGCAAACCGGTTCGAGTTCCCCAGTGCATTCCGACGGCGATGGAGATGTGACGCCTGCTCTATCGAGAGGCAGCAGCTCCCCGCTGGACTCTCCTATCGAGGAGAGGGTAAATGCATTGGAGGAAGTACCCGTGTACGTTGAGCCGGCGAGTCTTCCCGTTCCCTTCTCGATGCTCAATTCAGACGCCATCGAGCCCGAACACAAGCCAAAGTCGCGATCACCGTCACCGCCGCTAACCCCCAAACCGCTGGCATTACCAGTCCTTTCTCCATCTCCCCCTCCGGCAACACCAACACCCACACTCATACCCACGTCGCGAGTAGGAAAAAAACCGCCTAGCCCACCGTCTTCGTCGGAAGATCTGTACAAGGCCTTTTTGAAGCAGTGGTGCTTCGTTGGCGGTGCCGGAGGAGCAGGAGAAACGATGATAGGCGCATAGACGGTGAATGCCACCCCATATCATAAGACCGATCGCCATACACGATACGAAACGGCCTCCATATATCAATATCTTTATTCATCTTCCCACTCACGCTGGTTGTACTACCTCATCATCTCTCGCTAGACATTGTACCATCACCAACAGCAGCACAGCGCGGATGGACGGTTCTTGTGTTTTTCCTCTCCTCTCGTATTTGTACCACCTTTTTTGTACTACCAGTTACTCACTCATACTTACATACCCCCTCACCCACAAAAAGCATGTATAGTACGGACGTTACCATACATGCACCCCAGCATATTATCATTACTTACTTTGGCTCTGATCATGAATAGATTGTCTTGTTTGAATGGATTACATACGAGGGGTTGAGATTTTCACAGGTAGAACGGTGCCTGGTGCCGTCTCGACAGGTCCAGTTACTATCATCATCATCATCATCATTACACGGCACGGTACCACTTGGGCACGCCGGACACTATGACGTCGGTCCCGACGATCCGTAGTACGAGTGGGTCGCCACTCTTCTCCTGTCATATTTCGTTTCTGGATCCGCGAGCGTCTGCGTTGGACTCGGGTGTACCCAAGGATCCCACGAAACCCACCTCGAGCGGATATCGGTCCGTCGTCACGTCTCGGCCGAAAGCCCAGTCCACCGAGATAGATAGTAATAATAGCGTCAGATTCTGAATAACGGTTGAGTCAGCTTGCATCGCCGAATCACCGTTTTTCCTTCCTACGGAATGGGGAACGAGAAACGTTTTGGGTTCGTCGGCTCACAGTAAGGCCATGAAAGTTTGGCGATCCAAAAAAAAATGATGAAATCACGAACGTTTGATACACTTTTCATTTCACCGGTGATTAGATAGAGTCCAAGCGGTGCCGTTACAGTTGCGAGAGGAGATACGCGTACCGACCCCCGAGAGATTGACAGCACTTACGTCGAGCGAGACAACCAGTGGGAAGGACAATCAGACAGGCGCATATGGGAATGGGAAAGATCGATAACAGGATTTCATACACGTGTTGTTCGTGGCTCTTTCTTTTGGCGCCGCAAGATAAGGAACAACGTCAGAAGAAGGTAAAGTCCCAAAGAAATTTTCAGGACTACTTTAGCCCGGAAAACTTCGGGGAGAGCTA